AGCTGTGAAGAGCTGCAGAGTGGTATGGAGCCAGCCCAACAGAAGTTTGTTGAGTCATCAAAGGAGTTAGAGATCCAAAGAACACTTTGATATCAGACAAGATACAGAATTTAGAGTTTGCCCTGCTGGTTTTCATCTTGCTTAGTCCAGTACTTCCTCACAGTGTTCCCTTTCCTCCCTTTTAGAATGGAAATAGTTATTCTGTGTCATTGTCTGTTAGAAGTATATGATCTTCATTTTGATTTTGTTTTACAAGGAGTTACAGACTGCCACAAGTCTGAAAAGAGACTTTAAAGTTTGTATTTTAAATGGTATTGAGGAGACTGTAATAGATTTTTTAAAGTTGGACTGAATGTACCTATTTTTTTAACTCATGGTATGGCTATAAGCCTATGAAGGCCAAGGAGTGGAATATGATGGTTTGAAAAAGAATGAATTCCCACAGGCTCATATATTTGAATATTTAGTCACTAGTAGTGAAACTGTTTGGAAGGATTAGGTTAGAAGGTATGGACTTGTTGGAAGAAATGCATCACTGTTGGACTGGGGAATGGACTTTGAGGTTTCAAAAGCCCTTTCGAGGCCCAGGATCTCTCTGCCTGCTGCTGTGGATCTGTTAGCACTCTAGCACCATGTCTGCCTTCATGCCACCATGCTCCCCATCATGATGATAATGTAATAATGCTCTGAAACTGTAAGCAAGCATCCAATTAAATGTTTCTTTTACAAATTGGCTTGGTCATGGTATCTCTTCACAGCATTTGAACAGTGACTAATACACAAGGCAAATTACAAAACACTTGCAACAGCCTTTAATCTCAGCACTATAAGACAGAGGCAGGCAGATCTCTGAGTTTAAGGCCAGCCTGGTCTACAGAGCAAGTTCCAGGAAAGCCAGGGCTACAGTAAAGAGAAACCCTGTCTTAGAACACAGACAAGCAAACAAACAAAAAAGAAGGGCAGAAGTAAAAAAAAGAAACACAATGAACTACAAAACCATTTATGATAAGATACCAGAATTTGTTAAATGTTCATTGTTGTTTTTAACAATGACTTAAACAGGATGAGTACAACTTCTATAGAAATGTTTGGTTTTGCTTATTTAATTGAATACTATGGCACTAGCCATAGTAATAAACTGTTGGGACAATTAAATAAATAGTATACAAGACTAAAGTTTTAAAGAGTCTTCAAGATGTCTATGACATTTCCTATCAAATGTTCATTTAAAATTCACAAGCTTTAGTATAGGTCATCCAGTTTTTAATGTGTTAAAAAGAATTTAAATAAACATGCTAAAGTGATTAGCTAAAGTTAACCTGAGTTCCAGTCTAGCCTGGGCTACAAGGTAAGATTCTGGATAAAAGAAAGCCCAAGAAGGACAACAATAGAACAATGACTACACTAACAGAAAGCACCCAGAGTAATTAAAGGCAGAGAGACAAAGTAAAAAAGGTGCTAGGAGAAGTTGCAGTGGTAGATGACAAGTTACTATTTAACAGGTTGAACTTCAGTTTGGGATTATGAAAAAGCTCTGAAAATGGACAGTGTAACAGTTACACAATGACATGAATGTATTTAATGCCACTGAAACTTAACAACTTAATGTTTTAAACAGCAAATGGCTAAGGTTGTATAAAGACTTTAACATACTTTAAAATGGAAAAAAAAATGTGTTAGTTTTCTACATGGCAGTACAGGAAGGTGGTAAGAATATAAGAATTAGGCTTCCTGGTTTTAAACCTCTGTTTACTATAGAGCTGTGTAGTCTATCTCAGGATGTTTTCTCAATTAACAGAATCTTCTTCATAGAGGTATGGTAAGGAATAAATAATTCAATACATAGGAAGCACTGAAAGTAGTACACAATATTTAGTAACAATTTTTTGTTATTATAATTTAAAAACATTTTTGTGAGTCAGGACTTCAGTATATAACCTAAGCTAGCCTTAATCTTCCTGTCTTAGCTTTTCATATGCTCTGATTTCAATGTAATGCTCCTGACTTCAAGCATACAAATTAGACTTTGGCTTTGTGCTAGGTATCAAACCCAGGCCCTTATGTGTTTGGTAACTGTTCTCCCACTGAGATGTATCTCCAAACTTTTTTTATGAACTTTGGGTCATATGTCTGTAGAACCTTAAAAGCCCTTCATCAAAATTAAATTACTCCTTTTGTTTTGTTTTGAGGCAAAGTCTCATTATGTAGGCCACCCACAAACTCAGTATCTTCCTATCTCGGCCTCCCTCCCAAATACAGGCTCCTGTTACTACACTTAGCTCCGTAAAATTCTTAAGATCAGTAAGAAATAACAAATGAAAACCAGTAATCTACACCAAACTTCCCATTGAATAGGTAATGGAACAAAGATTTCAAAATAATTAGCCTGAGGTTACATATCTTACTCCATTAATATTACTTTTCCTAAAGACGTAGAGTTTGGGGTTAATACCAATATTGACATTCAATGACTTCCAAACCAAAGCCAATAAAGCAAATGTGTATCCCAGAATCTCTTATCTTTGTTTCTAATCCACTAACGTGTGTGTGTGTGTGTGTATGTATGTATGTATTTGGAGAGTGCCAAAACTCAGCAAAAATAAAACAAAAAACAACACAATTATCCTCAAAGATAACAGTTAAAAACATCTAGCCAGAAAACAAAGTGTTAAAAATTGTGAAGCCATGCCGGGTGGTGGTGGGGTGGCGCACGCCTTTGATCCCAGCACTTGGGAGGCAGAGGCAGGTGGATTTCTGAGTTCGAGGCCAGCCTGGTCTACAGAGTGAGTTCCAGGACAGCCAGGGCTATACAGAGAAACCCTGTCTCGAAAAAAAACAAAACCAAAACAAACAAACAAACAAAATTGTGAAGCCATTATCAAAAGATGCCTACCACTCCTTTACTGTCACCCAGACACTAAGTGAATAATCTCAGTGAGACCTGAGTCAAAAGAGTCTGTGTGGAATACTAAATAGAGCTAATATTCATCACAAAGAAACAGCTACACATCGCTCTTTACTAAAATCAAACAGAAGTGAGCAGCAATCCAAATACCACAAAATGTCTGGTGAAAAACAAATCCTTTGCAGACATTTTGTACTTACTTCAGCTGGGTTATCTGTAACTGGTGTCTGGAACAAACTCAACAGAGGGTTTTAAAAAGTGTCCTTATTTTGCCACCTCTCGAATTCGGATTTTACTTTATTTTTTATGTGGTTTGATTTGTATTTTATTTTTTACGTGGTTTGATGGTTTTTCAGATAGGCTCTCATTGTGAAACCCAGGTTGACCTGGACTTCACTTCAATCTTCCTGCCTCAGCCTCCCAAGTGCAGACTACAGGCATGATCCACCATGTCTGGCTCCCGAACCCAGCTCTAAAAGGATAATTACCACCTACAAATGAAATGTCTTCTCCCAGTCTACACTGTTAAAATCCCGCCCGTCCTGCTGAAATTGAAATACGTGGTGCATATGTATGAAAAAATCATGATGAGACCCAATATTATGTATAATTAATACATACAAATAAAACGGTTTTTTTAAAAAAGTATTATTCAGCCTTTTAAAAGGCTCTACTTTATAATGGCAGCTTCCAGAGATTTCCCCACACTGATGTCTCAATGTAGAATCAACCTTTTCTTTGCTGCCTAATGCTACACAAGCCTCAACAACACACTGTTACCAACATTCACTTCTGACCCCCACACACACCCAGCACTCCACCCCCAGCAGTAGGAGAAGGGATTTAACACGTATTGAACACTCACAAACAGGCAAGGGGCTACCAATTTTGCATACATTTTCTTATTCAATATTCTTGACAACAGGCTAGAAAGGTAAACAGGTGGCGTACTGCTGCTTACCGGTAGGGAACTACTGCATAGTTAATGGCTTGCTTGTCCACTATCACGTTCCAAGCCTATTCTAGCGAATGGAATGTTAGTTTGTTCTAACGCACTGTTTCCACCACTCAAGTGTTGTAGAAGTGTCTCCCACTATACCTGAGTAGGTTTCCGTGACTGTGTGCTCACTTCAATATTCTTACGAACACAATACCACCATTTAATAATCGAGTCATGCCTCAGCCCTAGCCCCGCTACCTTTACAGTTCCTTTAGGGAGGACTTTACCTACTTGAACGGCTCTCCACTTCTCCATGAAAATGCTGCAGGCAGCATCCACCCCAAACTGTTCTTCCCACAAAATGTACAAAATGCAACACACAGGAAACATGCAACTCATCTCACTTCCCAAAGCTCCTATTTCACTCTGAGGCACATGTTTATACCAACATAAGGATCAAGCGGTTTCCAATTCACACAGTGGGGCTATCCTAAGGCAACGTCTGAATAAGAAAAGGGTATCTTTCAGGTGTCTTAAAACGAAGGCATCCTAACCAACACTACGAGGCAGCTTTCCCTCTTTCTGCCGTCCTCCACTGAACTGTAGTTTGGATTTCCGGCGGGAATGGACGCGGAAAGATGAAATGGAGCTAAAAAGGCACTAGAGCAATTACTTTGCCGGCTTAATTAGAAGACACAGAAGGCCCCGCCTTTCTAAATCTCTGCAGTGAACTCATCTCTGAAGGCGGGCAGGGCATGGAAGCTAGAACAATCCCGCATCCAGCCATCGGTTTCTGCGGCTACCGGGGGTCAGTCCCTTTCCACCCGCGGTCCCCGGCCACCAGCGCCCTAGTACGGAGTATCAGCCCCGCCGCACCTTCCCAGGCGGCCCCAGGTCTCATTGTCTGCACCGTGCAGCCCCGAGGGGCGCGGGGTGCAGAACAGGCCCCGCCGACCCCTACCCACCGCAGGCCCCCTGGCCGGGCTTTGCCCAACGCCGCGAGCCTGGCCAGCAACGACCCCGCCCCGGGCTGCAGCCGCCCGCACTCGCCCGGAGGGCCACGCCGGGCGCTGGGAAAATGGAACCGGCAGCGCCTCCTGGGCACCCAGATCTCTCCTTTCCCCGACCCCGAGGGCCAGGCGGTGGGGCACTCACCGCGGCAGCCCCTCGGCTCTCACGGAGCCCCGCGCTAGGCAGCAGCTGCTCGCGCCTTACAGCCGCCGCCTCGCCAGGCGCGACGCTCCTCTCCCGAACGCTGAGAGCGCCCGCAGCTCCCGCGGCGCGCGCTCGGTGACTGACTGACCGACCCACAGAGCGGGCGTCGGCGGGGACTGGGCGGGGCGGCCGCAGAGCCCCGCGGCGCGGATCACAGAGCCCGCGCGTCCGGCCCCGGCACACAGGGCGGGGCTGAGGGCCGCGCGGCCCAAGGGCGGACCGACTCGCGCCCGGCCGCGCGCTCCCGCCGCGGCCACCGCTCACTTCCGGCGCAGGCGGCCGCGCGCCTCTCCTGCCGCCTGCACGCGCGCACGCGCGCGCCCCTCGCGGCCTGGCCAGCCGCCCCCCTACCGGCCGCCCCTCAGGCGCCGGGCCGCACCCAGCCGCGGCGGTTCTCCGCGCCCTGCCTTTCCTGCGCGCGTCCGTGTGAGCCGCCTCCAGGAACCAATGAATCAGAGAATGAATGAGCGGAGAGGAAAATCCCGCTGCGGTCCCGCCCGCCGTGGCCCTTCCCGGGAAGCCTGCACAATTGCTCCTGTCCGAGGGTCTTGGGAGACTGAGGGCAGACGAGCAGACCGGTCCAGACTGAGCGCCTTTGCCTGCTGTCCGCGTCCTCAGTCTCCAGAACCATCCCCAGGGCTTCCTCAGGCACTCACTGACTATTGTTGAAATCTGGGAGCACTGCTTTAGGAAATCTCATTTTAGCTTAAACTCTGCAGTTTCGGGCAATGTATGGGAAGCTTTCCGGAATCAGACATTAGTCCATTCATCTTTACCTTTTCACGTCAAAGCCTGTTCGTCTGTGTCCTTGGTTTCCTGTACTGAATTTGTTCTCAGCAAGGGTGTTGGCAATCTTTCCTGAGCCCTGAGCTGTATTCCCCAAGTACTAACTACACTTAAAATACTGAGTTTGATTTCAATCTCCAAATTACTCGGATGCTGCTTATTTTAATGCAGGTTTGACTTAGGCAGATCTACGTCCTTATTATGACCTTCATGTAAAGTTGATCAAAGGAAAGGAAAAGTAGTATTAAATTACCTTTGCTTGGCTATGTACTTTGTTAGCATTAAAGGAATTGAGCTATGGTCTGGCTGCATTGAACGTTCAGCATTCCCTTTTTCATGTCTTCTTGTCTGTTCTTTAACCGTTTCTGTATCTTGAATTTTCACCAAAAAAAAGAGAAAAACTAAATAGATCATGTATTTCCGAAATTCTGGCGATCTTTCTAAGAATGAGTATTCGTTTTTCTATTCTAGGATCAAATCCCAGTTTGACTAATTGCATTCTACTTCCTGATATTCTTGAAGATATCCAAGTGATTTTAGTCTTTTAGTAATCTTTTCCAAACTGTTGCACAATCTGTTTCAAACTGGTATTTAGAATTGTCCAATAAAATTATTTGGCTGTTTCACACTTGAGATACTTGTACTTTAGGAAATAAATGCATTTTTGTATTTTAAATTTAGTAGGTACTTCAATAATCAAATAACATCATGTAAAATTGTGTAAAATAACATCATCTTGTGTAACATTGTGTAAAATAACATCATCTTGCTGGGCAGTGGTGGCACACGCCTTTGATCCCAGCACTTGGGAGGCAGAGGCAGGCGGATTTCTGAGTTCGAGGCCAGTCTGGTCTACAGAATGAGTTCTAGGACAGCCAGGGCTACACAGAGAAACCCTGTCTTGAAAAAAAAACAAATAATAATAACATCATCTTATAAACTAAAAATGGTGGAAGTGGCCAGTTCTTGGGACCTCTCTTCCTGTTGAATTCAGTCATCATTTGTTACCTGTAATTATTTCAGCACACTAATATCATACTCTTAATATCATAGCATTATTCATTTTATACCCTGTAGTATCTACTGTAGATCTTTGTATAAATGACAAATGCTTTGAAATTTTTAATCAACAATGTATACAAATGTTGTTTGGAGCCTCTTCATTTCCCTTGTGACTAAGTTTATTGAGGTTAAACATACCTAGGTGCCCAAATCTAATAAATAACCTATTGTTGTCAAATGTTATTACTAGGCTGAACACATTACAAGGAAGAGTCTCACTTTTACAGAAACCTCCTTACAAAACAGGCTCCTGAGTGCTCTTTAGATAGCTCTCAGCCAGCTCTTCCCAACAAGTGCTCAGGCTGGTTAAGATGAATCTTAGAAAACAGTCACTTTCCACCATTGAGAAAAATAAGCAGGTTCTCATCAGTTTCATTAAACCATGAAATAATCCATTCACTTAATTTGAGTCTATTGAGCTCAACTAAGGGGTGAGAATGCAAAGACAAGAAGGACTTGATGCCTCCAGCCCCCAGAAATCAGACTGCTGGATAAAGGAGGTAGGAAAACTACTACTAGAAAATTAGTATGTTCCCAGATCAGGAAAGTCTACCCAGTGGTAAACTACATGTTTAATGACTGACAGAGAGGAGCTAGCCAGATGAGGAGGGAACAGGCGTTCTAGAGAAAGGCAGCAATGTCTGTACAGGTGTGTGAACATTAGTAGTATTACCATGTCCAGGAGGCCTATTCCCAAGTAATTACATCTCTTCTGGACAGATGCAGAGAAGGCTCAAATAGGTGGGGAATGGTAGAAATGACCATATTAATCAAGAATTCATGTGCTACACTAAGGAGTTTGAACTTTATAATAAAGAATGAACTCTTTGAAGTGTGTCTTAGGGTTTCCATTGCTATGAAGGGACACTATGACCAAAGCAACTGCCTTGTCCTATAAAGGACAACATTTACTTGGGGGCTGGCTTATAGGTTCAGAGGTTCAGTCCATTAACATCGTGGCAAGAAGCATGGTAGCATCCAGGCAGACATGGTGTTGGAGAAGGAGCCAAGAGTTCTACATCCTGATCATCGGAAGATAGCCAGGAAAAGACTGTCTTCAGATAGCTAGAAGGAGAGTCTCACCGTTTTAGTCTCTGTGACAACTGAGTCTATGTTTGGAGGCAAGAGAAAATTGAAAAATGGAAGCAAAATGAGGGGGTGAGACTAGCCTAGGTCTTCACGGAGGCAGAGGAAATGCAGTGGGGAGGGTGCTTGGAAGAGGGATGTAGTGAGAAGGTGGAATCTATAGAATGTCATGGAATTGGCTGGATAATTGAAACCTCTACAAAAGGCAAGCAAGCCCCTGTCTGGGGAGGCTGAGTGGATGATGTTAACCCCCCCCCTCCTCCCGAAATAAGAATGCAGAAGGAAGATCTCGGCTAAACAGTTATAGAGGAAAGTATTACCATAGGAGGCTGGGAGCTCAGTCCACAAAAGGCTTTCTGAGCAAAGCTGATCTCAGTTCATGTTAGCACCCAGTGGTATGTATCCCTAATCCCAGTGCGTAAAGATGGAAATACCCCTGAATGTTACAGGTAAGTTAGTCTTAAGAAATGGATAAACCCCAGGTACGATTAGAGATCTTGTGGAGTGTCTGCAAACACACACACACACACACACACACACACATACACACCATAAATCTAGGAACCTCAAAGGAGTCTTAGTCCATTACTCTACAAAAGTATGTTCTTAAGGACAGTGGTTTCACAGGATTTTTGTAGATGAATTTTGGCTATTCTTGGTTTTCAACTTGACTAAATCTGAGTTAACTAAAACCCAATTACTGGGCATACCTACGAAGGACATTTTCTCAACTAAATAATTTGTTCTGGGAAGACACTTCTCTTTTTTTGTTGTTTTTTGTTTTGTTTTTCGAGACAGGGTTTCTCTGTGTAGCCCTGGCTGTCCTGGAATTCACTCTGTAGACCAGGCTGGCCTCGAACTCAGAAATCCACCTGCCTCTGCCTCCCATGTGCTGGGATTAAAGGCGAGGGCCACCACTGCCCGGCGGGAAGACACTTCTAATCCAGATATACTTTGTAGTGGGAAGATACACCTTTTTTTTTTTAATAATTTATTTACTTTTATGTACTTTAAATTTTTCTTTATTATTTTTTAGCAATAAATCTATATTTTTTAGTTGGTAATTAAAATGAATGAACTAGCCAGCTATGATGGCCCTTGCCTGTGAAAAGGTGAGACAGAAGGATCCTGAACTGAGGGCCAGCCTGGGCTACATCAGAATTCTGGGCCACAGGAGTGAACCTACTACTATAATTTTGCTAAGTGGACATAGAATCAAATGTCCCTATAAATTCCCATCTCTCTACTCAGAGATAACTGCAGTTCTCAGGCCTTATCAGAAAACATCTTTATGCATGGTTGGCAGTTAATGCAGAAACTCACAACTGGTTAAAGTGCAGAGAACAATCGTTAATAGAGTGTTCATCCCCACCTGCTACCCAAGACTTAGGGACCGTTGTCAAAAAAGGAGTGCTGTAAGAGCTCAGGTTGGACCAAACTGAAAAAGTGTCTTTCAGACAGAGCAAGATTACTGTGCTCATGAACTCAGAGCAGCAACGGCCACTCACATAAGACCTGCACAAGATCAAGCCAGCCAATACTGCTAATGAGGCTCTATAAATAGTCGATGGTCTCTGGGGAACAGAGATTCAGTTTTTTTTTAATGGTGTAGCCCTGGTAGGTTATTCAATCTCCACTGGATGGCCTCACAAATGAGTATACAGGCAGCACAACTTGGAATTAATGGGCTTTTAAAAAAAAAAGAAGAAGAAGGCAGAGTTGGGAGGGTTTAGGGAGGATCTGAAAGTAATGTAATAAAAATACCTTATATGTATGTCTATAAGTCTGTACGTCTGTCTGTCTGTCTGCATGCATGCACGTATGCAATTTTCCCAAATCAATAAAACATTGTATTTTAAAAGAAAGCAAAAGATGTCAAGGCCTGTTTGTATACACTGAGACCTTTCGTCAGAAAAAGAACTAAGTCAACATTTATGGACAAATCTTTAAAACAACACATAAAGTACATAAAGTCCATTTTAAATTTGAAAGATCACTGTATTCTAGAAATTTAGTTTAAGAGACAAAAAAAAAACTATCAAAATAACCAGAGAATAACTAAGTACAAAACTCTATTACAAACTATAGGTACAATGGGGTTTAGAAGAGAGAAACTGATGGTGATGGGAAGGAGTTGAGATTGTAAGGGACTCAGCTGGCACTACATCTAAATGCTAGGGGAGACAAAGTTGG